GAAGGAGTGGCTTTACAACAACTCTGTGACTGTTCTTGAATGGCCCAGCCAGAGCCCTGACTTAAACCCCATTGAGCATCTCTGGAGAGACCTGAAAATGGCTGTCCACCAACGTTTACCATCCAACCTGACAGCACTGGAGAGGATCTGCAAGGAGGAATGGCAGAGGATCCCCAAATGCAGGTGTGAACTTGTTGCATCATTCCCAAAAAGACTCATGGCTGTATTAGCTCAAAAGGGTGCTTCTACTAAATACTGAGCAAAGGGTCTGAATACTTATGACCATGTGATATTTCAGTTTTTCTTTTTTAATAAATCTGCAAAAATGTCAAAAATTCTGTGTTTTTCTGTCAATATGGGGTGCTGTGTGTACATTAATGAGAAAAAAATGAACTTAAATGATTTTAGCATATGGCTGCAATATAACAAAGAGTGAAAAATTTAAGGGGGTTTGAATACTTTACGTACCCACTGTAGATATTAGTATTCTAATCTCCTCCTTCTCATTGTCCCCCACCCCTCAATTCTTGGTCCCTGCCCTGTTTGTCACACAAGGCCAGACTGCCTGAGGAAACACAAGTATGCACTTTGTTATCAGGTCAGAGTGAAGCAGGATAATACAAAATAAAAAAGGAGCCTGTTAATCACTTGAACAACTTCAGAATGGATGAAATGGTTGGAGATGGCTGTGTTACTCTGCATGCTGGGCACATAAAGACCGAGCTGTGTTTATGTAGTGGAACAGAGGAGGCTGAGCACAAATGAAATTCATTAAACAACAATGCTCTTTATTGCACTGTCTGCATGAATAACTATAATACACAACAGTACTGTAAGTGACCTAAACTTTAGGCTGCATTAACTAACTTCTCACGTCACCATTAAGGGTGATGTGAGAGTCAAAACAAACTCCAGCAGTATCCCCTCCTCTTCTCCCTCTGCTCCTCCTTACCTTCCTGCCCTGTTTGTGAAACTGGGTCATATGTGGTCATGACAGCTGGAGATAGTTGTGGTAGTCAGGTAGCGCAGCAGTAATAACTGACTCCAGAGATAATGTAGGGCCCATAGAGCCCGTGGTGTTCAGTGGCATTGCAGAAACATAATGTCAGATAAAGAGGTTTACATTTTAGCAATATGCACATGCATGTCTGATGTTGTTTGTAGCAGATGTATCTGCAGTAACACAGGCTATCAAGCGCTAGCACTTTGGGGCACTATTCACAAATGCCCACGCCTGTGAATTAATCTAAACTTATTTTCCATATGTTCAGTGTTTCAATGATATATAATCTAAACCTCGATTATTTTCCTTCATCTTCCCCTCAGCGTGTGACAGTAAACACTGGGGTCCCCACTGCAGTAAGAGATGTCAGTGCCAGAATGGAGCGCTGTGTAACCCCATCACAGGAGCCTGCATCTGCGCTCCTGGATACAGAGGCTGGTGGTGTGAGGCCCAGTGTGAAGTGGACACCTATGGAAACGGATGCCAGCAGAAATGCCAATGCCAGAATGGTGCCTCTTGTCACCATGTTACCGGAGGATGCAAGTGCTCACCAGGATACACTGGAGCTTTGTAAGTCAGAGGACTGACAAGGCCCTATCTTCCTGCTAGTGCAAAGCTGGCATAACTTCAGACGTAGTCTTTATGTAATTTTCCTTGGGCTTAAGTCCATTTTTTGTGCAGTGGTATGTTTGGTATTTTCCAACACCTGCTCAGACCCACTTCTGTCACAGTCACATGCAAATTGCAATTTTCCTGACAACAATATAGGCTAGGAAGTGGGACAACAGGTACCCGCATGTATTTTAATGACCACACCAACTTAAAATAAACCTTAACATCCACAACTGAATTCACTGGAATCCACTGTGAATAATTAATGGTGAAATACCTGAACTATTTGTGATAATTCATAAAGGCTATTTTCAAATAAGATGAATAAAATAGTGCCTCTGTATGTGGCTATAAAAAGCAGCCAGGGTGCAAATTACATTGTGCATTTTGAAGGATTCTCCTTTAAATAGGGACACAATTACACATAGATGCACAAAATAATGCATAAAAGTAGCTCATGGGCCATGATAAATAACAAGAATTGAGCAGATGTCCAAAACAATCATGTTACAGGCATTAAAGGCATTAATGAGAGCAGGCAAATCAGTGTGTCGCACTGTGCACTGCTGTCACTCGCTATTCAGTTAAAATTGCCTATATCTTTTGCAAAATGTTGGGCACGCTCAAATGCACCTTCCACCTGGAGTTTAGACTTGTATTTACCGCTCTGCCCTATTTCAGGAGCATCGAGTCCAGCGTGTGAAAATTAGTTTCCAACCCCAGCAGTGATATAAAGTTTCAGTGAATGTGTTTTCCCATTTCCCAATCAGCAGAACACCTAGAAAATCTCCTCCTTACTGTAACTCAAACATATTGCTATTACTCATTACATTCAAACAGACACAAACAGGAACTCACTATTTCATGCACTCATTATTACATGCAGACCAGAGGCATATTGAGCTTTCTAGAGCTCTGGTGACCAGACATGATATATGAGGTGAAAAGTTACATTCTGGGAAATGTAGTTCTTTACAACTATGATGCACAGTCTATTAATATAGCTGATTCAGTTTATGAACTACAAATACACGTGACCTCAGGAATAACATAACAAAGTGAAAAGGTGCATTCTGAGAAACAAAGTTCTTTACAAATATATTGCACAATCTATTGATCAAGCCAATTCATTTCATGAACTATAAGTTATGGATAGAGTGACATGATATTTGCTTTAAAGAATAATACATCTAAAGTAAGTTTTATGATTGTTGTAAAAAGTAAACATCCACTGTGACAAATATTAACAAGACACTGTTTTCTTTTTCTTCTTAGCTGTGAAGACCTCTGCCCTCCTGGTAAACATGGGCAGCAATGTGAAGAAAGATGTCCATGTCAGAATGGAGGCGTTTGTCACCACGTGACTGGAGAATGTACTTGTCCTGCAGGATGGATGGTACACACTTCCAATGGTTTGCGTAAACTTTTTAGAATAGTTTAAAGTCATGGAACATGTTATTAGAGGGATGAATAGTACATGATGAGCAGGTGGAGTTGGGGCTGGCTTTAGTTCTGTCCAATCACACCAGCTCCTCTCATCCCCTTTAAAGAGCAGGGTGGAAAAATGACTGACTGCTGTCACTGATGTCAGGACATGGAAACATATGAGAGGAAAGATTCTGTCCCTGTATCTTCTTCTCCTGTCAGTTATGCTCTCCATTCCTAAACTGATAGTGATGAAACTATTTATGTGGAAGTGCTGAACATAAATATTCACCCAGTAATATGCTAATATCACTGACCGGCTTTTGTGCATGGAAGAAAGAAAGTCTCTGGTCCTGTAACCAGCAACAGTTCCATAGTGTAATTTACTCACAGCTGAATCCAACCACTGTAACTTTATAAATGTTTCATTGTTTTTAAAATAATACATTAAAATCCTACTGTAATCACTGTGTTTATGGTGAAACTGACTGTGGTCCATCAGAGCTCACAGCCAGTAGATGTGTCGTCCATTTTACCTCTACCTACAGCTGCTTTCAGAGCCGATCAAACCACCATAAAATACAAAAGCAGACGCAACGCATATCTCCACATTAGTAAAACAGGTATGTCTGTGTGAAACTAGTTCTAACTTAACAGTGACAGCAGCCACAGAGAGGTCGGACTGACTTTACCTGCTGTGTAACAGGATTAATGGAGACGTCTGCATGGTGTTTGTTGTTTATCTTGGCTCATGAGCTGCTTTCGTGTGTTATTATGTGTAATTTTTAATGTGGATTTAAATATTATGTTGATGAGAAAAAAAATCAGTTTTAATATGGGGATACAAACATATACACCCAACAGTGTAAAGGATCTGAGAAGTACTGTAGTTTATTATGATGTACAACAAAGAAAAGCATCAGTTCCACACATTAGAGAAGGTGTAACTAGAAAATGATGGTGATTTAGCTTCAAAATAGTTGATCAGTTTATATCAGTGATCTGACTAATGGTTGCAGTGCAGAGTTAGGGAATTAATGAATATGATAAAGTATGTCAAACACAATGAGGGAACATGTTTTGGAAGAATGATGTTTCCTCCGTCCAACAGAGGAGCATTGAAGCTGCTCTGCAAACACATTACTACGTTTGTTGTTAAATTTGTTAGTTTTGCCTTTAATTTGCTATCCTTCTGTATGTTCCTGTTGTCCTTGATGTGTGCAGGGTACAGTGTGTGGTCAGCCATGTCCAGAGGGGAGATTTGGACAAAACTGTTCCCAGGAATGTCAGTGTCACAACAATGGCTTGTGTGTGTCATCCACTGGACAGTGTCTCTGCAGTCCTGGATACACAGGAGAACGGTAAGAGTTACTTTTACAGTATACTAGTATATAGATGTATTAATCAATATTGGTATATAGCAGCAATTTGCTTAGGCACTGAATCTCCATGATGAGCAGCATGAACAAATAGCATGAAACAGAATCAGGGTGTGTTAACACAATCCAAACAAACTATAGAATATTAGCAAATTACTACATTCTATGTTTCCTCACATATTTTAATCAAAATATACTGTAGAATAAATTAGTTTTTCTTCTCCCAGAGTTCAGTTAGCAGATTTAAATAGGATCAGTGTTAACAGTCTGCATTGCTCAGCAATTCAAATGTAATCTTGCTGAACATACAGTCCAATTCTGTTTAGATGTGGCACGGGGCTCAATGAAATATGGCATTAGAGGAAAGAAGAACAGACTAAAAATTAACTGTTGTATGGCCAAAACATCTTTACTCTGGCCATTTATATACAATTATACAAGAGTACTGTTTCAGCTGCAACCAAGATTTCCTAGTATGCAACTATAACAGTCAGTTCGGTGTTTCTGACCTTTATTTAATAGTTTGCTTGTTTTTTATCATTTGTTGTTATAAGACAATGGTAACATTGTGTTATGGCTACATAGTGGTGACTATGTTTACTTGGGTTTGTTGTCCAAAAGCTGTCTTATTCTCATAGCACCATGATACAAAGTGCTATGAAAAACAATGTTACCTCCTGAGGTGATTTTGAAAATAACTGCATTTAGCTGTGTGCAATGTTAATTTATTAGTATGCATAGATTTACTAAATGAGTGCCTGTTTATCCAGTTTTTCCAACAGAAAAAATTGGCAATAAACATTTTACATGTGTTTTGATATGATTATTGACTTGTTTATATAAAACTCAATTTGAGTTGCTCTTAAAGGATATTTCTGCTCCATATAAACTGTTGAAATAACAGTAACAACATAGGTATTTGTTTCTTTTTAGAGAACTCTTACTGATCATTTCTATCTTTTTAAATCCTAGGCCATGGATAACATTATGTCTCTTGCTGTGAACAGGTGCCAGGACGAGTGTCCGGTTGGCACTTTCGGCGCCGGCTGTACAAAGATGTGTCGCTGTAAGAACCAGAACAAGTGCGACCACACCAATGGAATGTGTCTGTGTGAACCAGGATACACAGGGGAGACCTGTGATGTCCGACTTTGTCCAGAAGGACACTATGGCCTTCAGTGTGATATGAAGTGTCCATGCCACGCCCAGAACACACACAGGTATGCAGTAAATGATGTTCAAATTTTGCTCCACATGTCTTAAATAAATTCAGTAAAATATTACCAGCTCTAAACATCTTCAACTGATAAGCATGAAGAGTGATTTGACTGAAATCATGTTTCTTTTCAGTGCTCTGAGGCTAACTGATTGTCCCAGTAACTGCTGTTAAATGCAACTATTTGTTTTCTCAGTTCTCTGCAATGGAGGTGGAGATAGTAAAATTTGCACTAGAGTGATCATACGCATTCAATAATAGGAACCTCTAAAATATAATCATAATCATAATTATTTAAATACATTGTTCTAACATTTGCAATGCTCTTTTTTTTCTTGCTGTAATGGAGTATTGTCATACTGCAGTACACACTCCTCTTGTGGTACCACGGTGTAATGTCATTGTCTACAGTACACTTATATTTTGTCTCATTGTCTCTTTCTCGAGATGCTTCTCTCTCCAGTACCTACTTCTCACTGATGTAACTGTCATATTCATTTGTATTTGCTGAGAGATCTGAATCCTACATTTGAGAAGTAGTAGTAGACCTACAGTATAAACACCAACTAAACAAGAATAAAGTACACTACATATGAAATGTTCCTCTCATGTCTCCAGCTGCCACCCAGTGTCAGGGGAGTGTACATGTCAGCCTGGATGGTCAGGCCTCTACTGCAATGAGACGTGCACCCCAGGATTTTATGGTGATTCCTGCCAGCAAGTTTGCCAGTGCCAGAACGGTGCCGACTGCCTCAGTGTGACCGGAGAGTGTGTATGTGCTCCAGGCTTCATGGTAAACTGATTTCTAGCATACTGAATTATCAATGAATGCTTTAGGTCAAATATGAAGTGTCATACATCGGTTTGCCAGCTCTCAGAGGCAAAGAGTTGCAATCCCTCACACTAAGCAGATATAGTCAAGAAATGATGCATATGAACTCACATTTCAGTGATTTCATGATGGAAGAGTTTATCTAATCTTTCAAATGTAACCAAACCATTTACAGCTAAAATGCAGTTGGATCCTATTAAATGCAGTAAAATAAGTTAATAAAAGATGAAAGAGGAGTTATGGGTCTTTTAATGAACACACACTTACACACTCACTATATAACAATACACATATCACGCAAGCAGAAGATAATGAGAGACAAACAAAGGAGAGTAAGAGAAAGCAATTATATAAATGGGCAGATATCATATGTATTATTTAGGAGTTTATTTCTTGCTTAATCAGCATTCTTTCTTTCTGTTTATATTCTGTGCATTATGTTGTTATGCAGTCAGAATCTGTGCTCAAGTGGTCACCCGGCGGTGGTTCAGGGGGTTCAGGGGGTAGAGCGGTCATCATCCCTAGAGTCCATAACCAAATCTCCAGCAGTGGATACTAATCCCATCCATTATGCCCATTCAAGACTTATTTGTCACAAAACACAAAGTAATGTGTATTTAAATGACAACTGGATCAAATCCAATCAAATTCAGCAGATGAACTGAACATGTCCCTTTAGTGTTGTTGGTGGTCTAGCTGTACAGCATACTTGAGGAATGTATAATCATACAGCCAGTTTCATTTCTGTCTATTTCCCAGGGTTCCAATTGTTCGGTCCCTTGCCCAGCAGGAACACATGGCACAAACTGCTCCTCCAGCTGTACTTGTAAGAACAGCGCTCAGTGCTCACCGGTGGATGGATCCTGCTCCTGTAGACCAGGTGAGCTGAGGAGGAGAGGGCGGAGGAGAGAGAAGTTGGGAGAGAGGAGGAGACGGAGAGGTTACAAAAACACCAGGGCTTAAAGTGTCTTTAGGTTATTTTCCAGTCTAATGTGAGCTGCTCACACCCTTAGTCATAATACCTTATTTCTGAACTTGAATCACTAATTTGGGGGAAAACAGTCTAAATCTAAAGCCATGCAAACATATTCTGGTTTATAAAAACTTTGGTCTGCCACTAGTGAACATACATATGGATGATACTATAATTCAAAATCAAATAAATAACTATGATATGATATGATTGTTGAAATGAAATAATGTGAAAGGACATTTTATTCTGCACCTGCTCAGAATAACATTTGTTGAAGTCAGCATCATTCCCGCAGGTTTAGTTGTTTTTTTATACCACGGCACATTATAAAGGTCTGCAGTAATAGCCCTTGTTTTGTTATGTTATCTTTAAGGTATAGTGCCGTATAGTACCGTTCTGTGTAGGTCATGTTTTTTATTGTGTCGATTTTGTTCTCTCTTGCCCCTCTCTCAAGAGGCTGAGTGGAATTAATCCATAATGAAACAATTATTCTTTTCATGCAAAGCTTTTAGTAGTAGCTGCTTTTTACCAGCCCATTATAACTTCTTCCTTGATGACATTTACCATTTTTGCTGTTATCAAACTATTTGGAAACTGTTTTAGAGATATTCTTGTGTTACACTGGTTATTGGTTTAGGTGCTAGCTACTGTTAATCAGATGTTCTAATGTTGTTTGTTTAATCAGGGTGGCACGGGGTGGACTGCTCCATCACCTGTCCCAGCAGGACCTGGGGCCTGGGCTGTAACCTCACCTGTATGTGCTGGAACGGAGGAGCATGTAATGCCCTGGATGGTCACTGTACCTGTGCTCCTGGCTGGAGAGGAGAGAAGTGTGAACTTCATTGCCAGGTGGGAGGATATGGATACCCTCAAATCTTTACATCTAAAAAGCACATGTTTTGTTTTATCCTTTACAAAATGCAAGTTCTTATTTGTGTCCAACATTCTGACGGTGCAGCCTGATATTTTCCAGAGTATGCTGAATGGCAGAGGCAGTTGTGTGGTAGATTTTGTGTGTGCAATTGTAAACAGTAAATGTCTCCTATAACTTGTTATTGTTTTTAAACAACTAAAAAATGACTCATTTTATTCCAGCACTTATGTTATTTATCTACTGATGTACAGTGTGTAGTGTATCAATCCTAGTAACACTTTCCAATATGGTACACAAAAACATGCAAAGCTACTGAAGAACAATTTAGGAGTGAGCTGATAATTAATGAATCATTAATAGTAGTTCCTAAATAGTAGTATGATATCTCCCATTCTGTTCTTATCATTATCTGCTGTGCAGTTAAGTTATTCAGGAACTAGTCATTTATTATTTATCTGCTCATTCCTAACTCGTTCTCAGTAGCTGCATATGTTTTTGTGATTCATACTGTGAAGTGTTACCCAAATCCTGGCTACACTTCCATGCAAGCATCCAACTTTTTTGCACATCACACTATTGATGAGAGTTGACCTTGGATTTAGGCTTCAGGTGCTGATTTAACAGGATTTAAATGCATGAAATTTTCATTCTAAAAACTAAATAACCATTTCTGTGATGGTCACTGTTCGCCCTCCTCAGGATGGTACCTATGGTATTGACTGTAAGGAACGCTGTGACTGTAGTCACGCTGATGGATGTCACCACTCTACTGGCCACTGTCACTGTCTGGCTGGATGGACTGGTAAGCTATAATGACAATCGCAAATACAACCTTCCAAAATGAGTTTCCTTCGCAGGGTGGCCGGCCTCAGCCTTAGGGATAGGCTACAACGTGTGCACATGTGGATGGACTTTGGAGTGGAGCTGCTGCTCCTTCACTTTCATAACAGTCAGTTGAGGTGGTTCAGGCATCTGATTAGGATTCCTTCTGGATGCCTTCCACTGGAGGTTTTCCAGGCACATCCAACCGGTAAGAGGCCCTGGGGTAGACCCAGAACCTGCTGGAGGGATTAGGTGTCTCATCTAGCCTGGGAACACCTCGAAGTCCACAAGGATGATTCAGAAAGGGTCACTGGGGAGAGATGCCTGGACTGCCTGGCTAAACCGACTGCTTCTGCGACCTGCAGAAGATAATGGATGATAATAAAGTTAAAAAAATTGAATTAATTACTCATCTAGATCACTTGATATTATTTTCTTTATGGTTGACTGTCTTTTCAGCCATGTATATGAAATGTCAAACAACTTTCTGAAGCAGATAAATTATACCCAATATAAAGTGACTGGTGCTGAAGAATCTGTTCTGTATTAGCCAGAGGTGCATTCAGTTTATAGTGGTGCATGCATTCATTGTACTAAACATACCAAAACATGTCTGCATTTGTTTGCGTGTGCATGTTTGAGTAGGTATCCACTGTGACAGTGTGTGTGCAGCAGGCTACTGGGGCCCAAACTGCTCCTTCCCCTGTAAGTGTAAGAATGGAGCTTCCTGCTCAACAGATGAAGGAACCTGTGAGTGTGCTCCAGGATACAGAGACTCCACCTGCCAGAGGAGTAAGGCTTACATCTCTACATCAGCACCACATGCCACTGCATGCATGTGCATTAGGTTTTAATTTTCTAGCTAATTAAATGAACATGTCTTTTTTCCCCCTCTGGTTTGCCTACAGTCTGCTCTCCAGGTTACTTTGGTCACCGCTGCAGTCAGACCTGTCCACAGTGTGTTCACAGTAATGGTCCGTGTCATCACGTGACAGGACAGTGTGACTGTCTGCCAGGTTTCATAGGGGCACTGTGCAACGAGGGTGAGTAGCACACAGCACCGCATTCAGCCAAATTAATTCAGTTCAATTCACTTTTAATTGTACACTGCCAAATCACAACAATGGTGATCTCAGTAAGGTCAAGGTCTTACAGTATTATAGGGAAAAACCAACAAATGCCACTGAGCAAGCACTTGGTGACAGTTGTGACGAAAAACTCCCTTTAACAGAAGAAACCTCTGACAGACCCCGGCTCTTGGTGGGCGGCCTTCTGCCTTGACCGGTTGGGGTGAGTGGATAGAGGAGAGAGAAAAGAAAAGCAACAAGACACAACAAACACAACAACAAACCATCAGGCAGGTTGATGTAGCTGGTGACTGCTCATCAGAAACAGTGCTATGGAACTCCATGACTAATTTTAGTGTGCATGGGCAATTCATCATTAACATGGACAAACTGGAATCTATCTGATAAATCAGATTTGAACCAATTTAGCGCAGTTGCTTTAATCACACCCTGAAGGACACCATTTCTACTGTATTACAAAGGCCTCAAGAATCCCCCCATGTAGATATTAAAGGTTCACACCGGTGACAGCATCCTAGTTTGTATTAGTCTCAAAGGTATTGTTCCAGGAACTTCTCTGATAATTTCTCAGACAAAGTTGTTCAAGAAGCATCGGAGTCTGTAGACAGCTGCTAGCATGATGGAACACACATGCACGTCATCGTGTCTCATACACATCGCATACATTTTACTGCAGGTTATTCTACATTTGGTCATATGTGCTAATGCACTGCTGAGCAAAGTTCAATAGCATAACACATGAAAAAAATATTGACCATTCTGTGTCTAATGAGAACCAGTGCAACCAAGACGATGCCAAAACGATCCAGTAACATCATGGATAATATCTGAGGTGGCAGTGATACTCCAGAAGTGGGGGTACATCAGTGATTAATGCAGACGTCTTGTATGCAGTATGTCCCAGTGGTCGCTTTGGGAAGAACTGTGCGTGGAGCTGCCGCTGTACCAACAATGGCACCTGTAACCCCATCGATGGCTCCTGTCAGTGTTATCCAGGATGGATTGGCAACGACTGCTCCCAGCGTGCGTTCACTCCCTAAAATAATAAATAAGATACATGGTGGCTCTGATGTGTTTTTATAATGTTACTGTCTTGTAAAATACCCATTTCTTCTTTTTGCATTATGAAGTTAAAAGAAAACATACCTAATAAGGATTGAATTATGAACTTATATGACCACAGACATGGCATTTTGTTATCTCTGTTGTGCAGCATGTCCGCCTGGTCAGTGGGGACCGAACTGCATCCACACATGTAACTGTCACAATGGAGCCTACTGCAGTGCTTATGATGGAGAATGCAAGTGCACCCCGGGATGGACTGGCCTCTACTGCACACAGCGTCAGTTACAGATGCACATCCACATCCACACACGCACACTAGTAGATGTCACATACAGTTGTTGCAGGGATTTTCACTTCAGAAATTAACAAAATATTTTACTTGGCTATGAGTCCATATACGTTTGCTGTAGTACATTACTGTGGAAACAGGTTTATATATTCCCTTCTCACCCCTATGGGGCGGTGTGTGTCTTCCTCAACCTCAAGCTCTCTACCAGAGGCCTGGGAGTTTGAGGGTTCTGCACAGTATCTTATCTATACAGTATTTAGCTGAACAGAGAGCTCTGATGCCACTCCTGGGATCTTTGAGTGCTCCTACCACCACTGGGTACGCCCTGGTATTTCTCCAGCATCTCATAGTCCTTGCTCTTGATGTTGCTGTTATTTGGAACTGCTGTGTCTACCACCACCACCTCCTTCTGTTCCTTGTCTACTACCATGATGTCTGGTCGGTTGGCCAATACTTTCCTGTCTGTCTGGATCTGTGAGTCCTGTTATTCACCGCGACCTTCTGAGGAGTCTCCCATCTGGACTCGGGAGGGTCTAGCCCATACTCTGCGCGAATGTTTCTGTACACAATGCCAGCCACTAAAATAGA